TGTGACCGAGGTATCATGAAGGAAAAGAAAGATAAATTTGAAATATATTCGATTAAATAGACAAGAAAAGACCTCCCAAGCGCTACTATCGTCGACAGATTGTCCGAACATTTGTAAATATGATCATGACGATGATTTGATACCCGTGAAGTCAAATTTGTTTGAAATGTTCCAAGTGTCAAAATGGCTTGACATATTGAAAAGTGCTTGTAAAGGGAAGGGGGGGGGGGGAGGGGTGACTGAAAATAGGCACATGAAAGTAAGAAAGATGGGGGATAAACACGGGGGATGTATAGGCAATATGAAACAGAGAGAAAGAGAAAGGAAAGTGGCTATATAGCAGAGTGGGGGAGAGGTGTAAGAGGTGTGCGTGTGTGAGGGAGAGAGGGGGAGAGGGGGTGGGGGAGTGTGCGTTGGCGTTGGCGTTTTGAAAGTGTGCGCGTATGGTTGTGTGTGTGGCGGAGAGAGAGAGAGGGAGAGAGGGAGAGACAGAGAGACAGAGAGACAGAGACATGGAGAGGGAGGGAGAAATGTGGACAGAAAAAAAGAAAAGAAAAGAGGGAGAGAAATAAAACGAGCTTGGAAAAGAAAGAGCGAAAAAGAGGGATATGGAGGGGATGGTAGAAAGGGGAAAAAAAAGAGAAGGAGAATAAAACATGCTTTGTTCCTTTGAAATATACGAATCAAGATCATAATCGGTAGGGCACAAATGGGATCGCGATGAAAGTAGGTAGGTCTAGGCCCAAAATATTCTTGACAACAAAAAAAAAACTTTACCGTGGCAGGTGGCGTGATATTCATCAGAAAGACCGACATCTTGACACCAATGCAAGAACAGGAATCATTCAATTTTTATCCTATTTAAAGGTCCATAATTTCTTGAAATACAACTATTTTCCAAAAGAGCCTACTAGTACACGAAACATTTGTTTCAGCAAATTAGCATCCCAATGTTATTTTTACTACAGACTTTTCGAAATGTTGCACTTTTTGTACTTTAACACGCTATGCCTATGATTATTTTGAAGGCCGTATCATTGGCACGTTTAATAGAAAACAACACAAATTCAGGACCAGCTTAACAAATCTAGTTTCGATTCACAAATTGCGTTTAAAGTGCCTATCTCTCCACCCATCAGAGTCGGTCCCCAATGGAGCAGAAAGGTAAACGTTTCCAATACCTTCGAGACACCGTTACGCTATACCATCCAATACCCTTTTAGATGGTGATCTCCGAATAATTCCATCCTCATCTGTCGACGCGCTCCAGTTTGTAAACCCTCTTCAAATTGGACACGCGAGTTGATTGCTAACTTCAGCCTTCACCCCCGCGCATTAAAGCGCGTAATTGTATGCATTCAATGGTGATGACAAGGACTGAAATTAATCGCTAGGATTTGTGATGAGTGTGAGGCGCAGAACTCATCTTTGGTGATTGATGTTTGAGTGATAGTTAATTGTACTTTGGAGTGAGAGGGCGTTAGAAACGTTTAGTTTGGATAAATATCCGAGCGCCAAAGCCAAATAAGTTCAATAGCCTGTACCCATATTCTACTCAGTTGCAAGTTTAGATCACAGCAAATGAAAAAGAAGTTTCCAAACATTTTATAGTCTTTTTAACAAACTTTGTTTGCGAAGTGACCGGGGGTGGGGAGGGGGTGCAAATTTACAGCGGCCCACAAAATTGGTTGACTAAATTATTTAGCCAAAAAATCTACGATACTTGTGTTGATTTGTTTTAGTCTTGCAAAACATTTTATTTTCCTTAGCACATGGGGAACCCCACTATCACTATCAAGATACAGATCGATTGCAGAAATGCAAAATTGTGACTAGGAGTGCAAGTGATAATATCTTGACCTAGGTGGAAAAGAAAGCAACATAACAACAACAAAAAATAAAAACATTTTATGACATGATGCGTTTTAATAGTTCACAATTTTTCTAAACTCCCACACAGTAGTCCGGCACAACTAGCTCCCAACAAAACTCCTAAAAGATCCCCTCTGGGTCGCCGTCGTTTAGGGTACATAATGACACATAACAGAATGGATTTAACCTGGGACTACACTCCTACAGTAGTGAGTGAAATCAGGCACGGTTCTAGATTTTTTTTCTCTCTTCATTTTAGCTGATGGTGGTGGTGGTGGTGGTGGTGGTGGTGGTGGTGGTGGGAGGGGGGTTGGGGGGGGGGGGGTAGGGTGCTCGGATTGGGGGTTCTTGTAATAATGTCTACAAAGTCATATGCCTCGCATAAATATTTGTGTGATCAAGGACAATTAGGATGGAGGCTTGATTATGTTTAATTTTAGTGTTATCATTAGTATTATTATTAATTTATTTGTGTATTTATTGATAAACTATTATGAGCATCATTTCATTTGTTTAGAGGGAAGGGGGTTAAGCTTCCCACCTTAATCGCTAATAGTAAAGTTCACTCGCAAGTTAAAATGACATGCACCTAGCTCCCTGATAGCAGAAAGTATGTTGAAGAAAAGGTCTCGCGATACTCTTTGTGAGGCATTCACAACGTAGTTACAAAGACGTATCCAGAAACTTGGGAGAGGGGTAGATGATGTACTTGGGGTGCATTTGTGCTACAGTCCATCTCCTATAGGCGTGACGCGTTTTTACTGATTTTGTTGGGGACTTTAAAATAAGGGTTGTATACGTACGCTCATCTACACCAATGTATATGCTAGCTACGCCCAGTGTTGCATTATCATGATTAGATCACGTATTACTTGTACATACAAAAACAACAGGCCTACTAATCCACGCTAAAGGAAAGATTCCGTTGCATTATAATCAATCAACATATCAGACTCTGAAAGTTAATTCGAGGGACAGCAATATGTTTGCTTAATCTAGCCGAGTCTAATGCTCAAATGCTCAGTATATATTTTAAAAACAACGATGTATCGTTGATCATTTTGGTGTTCATCATGATCAACATGTATGAGATGTATGTTAAAAAACGTTTTCAACAATAAAAACTCCGTTTATCCCATTGAATAAAATACAAAACAAAATCAACGGGATGTTATCAATACTCCAGCACACCTCACCCCCCCCCCCCCCCCCCCCCCACCCCCAGCCAAACAAAAAATATGAATGCCCTTCTCCATTTAGTAGGACAAGAAGCATTTCTGGGGAGGTTTATCATCAAGATCTTTACAAGGGTACATTATTCTTGACCTACGCACTTGCAGGGATAATGCCATAATCGAAATATGATGAATTGTTGTGAAGTGCGATTTACGGCGGATTGAACTGAGAGCAACGAAAGAGGTCTTATTTCAATTTTGACGAGCGAGGGTGAGAACATGACATTACTCGTAAATGTGTCCAAAATAACCGGCTCGTCACTGATTCTATTGCCTTTATAGTGAAATCTATGCAGAAAACAATAAGATACAGTAAAAGGTACAAATACATATAAAAGGCATACACAAAAAATAACATTTGCTTTTCTTCTTCTTCTTCGTTGATTTTTTGTTTTCTTCAATTCAATTCAATTTAGTATTTATTGTCCATTTCTGGATATTTTATTTTCACTGGTGTAACATATACAGATTAACATTAACTAATGAATTTACAAAAATGTAGACATTAACAGTAAATAAACAAGGTTTAACATATGATTAAGCACAAATTAACAGAGGATCGAATGTTGTTTTAAAAACACTAATTCAGAACAATAGTTAACATAGTAATTAAATCAGAGCAATGAAAGATTAATCTCATGAATATTTCATTTATTTCTCCTGATGCTGTTACATTTATCGTGTATAGTTTACAAAAACGATCCCGAACAAACAGACCAGAGATTTGCTAATAAAGTACGATAAACAACATACAATCTTATTCTTAACCATCTCTCTCTCTCTCTCTCTCTCTCTCTTATAATTTATGTTAATAATGATTATGAAAAAGTCATTTATAATGCGCTTCATGAAAATTGATTTTAAGAAAATTAATATCCTGAACAAACTACAAAAAAACAACATAATATTAAACAGTTTCAGGGCACTTAAGAGTTCAAACAAATTAAAATACACGTAATACAGTAGCAAAAGTTAACGATCATCTATCTCTCCTTCTATTATCTTCTCTTCTGTTATCTTTTTCTATCTCCTTCCCCTTTTCTATATCGCCCTCGTTCCCTCTCTCTCTTTCCCCTCTATATATTTCAAGCTCCTTGTTCACATTGATCAGCGCACAAAACTAGCTAGAGTGATGCAAACTTCATGGTTGTTCCAAATTAATTTCTGATATAAAGTTATATACAAATTCATGTATGTTCAAAAGTGAACTTAAACCTACGACATACTTTTCTAAAATCTGAAAGATTGTTTGAAAAGTAATGAAAAACCTAGGACATAATATATATATATACTTATGAACAAATACCAGTGAGTTGTAGCCTTCTATATTCAAGAAAGCTTAAAATGTACAATATTCAACGCCTCTTGATCTTACTTGGATCTCGTTCGGTTACTGTCAATCAAATATATTTTAGTGTCAAAATTTCTCTTTGACATATTTTGTCGTCAGGATTAGTATTATTGTGTGAAAAGAAGAAGGTAAAAGGAAAAATATAAACGAAATTCTCGCACACGCCAGCTATGAATCACAGCCTTCAAATATCATTCATGAAATCGTGCAGTGAATACATTATGTTCACAAACAGTTGTAGCCGTGTACATAAGAATAGACGGACGATAATCCAAAGATTATCAGTTACATTGATTGCTAAACGACTTCACTCATGACGGTAATTACCTATTTTCTGCCCTGTTTACTGTCATTTCTTTGACTAAACGGGAGATTTAGTCCTTTATCAGTTTGATAAATAGACGTAGCATGCCATTACACCGCGAGAAGATCTGATCAATTTTCTGATCAACAATCTTCTAAAGATCACGAACTTAGCACCACGCTTGGTGTTCCAAGGTCAATAATTTTGTACAAAATATAGAAAATTGGTGTCGACTTACCTTCATGCATAGCTCGCGGCATGGGGGCAGTGTCTGCGAGCTCTTACGGGGGCAGGCCGGGACGAAAGCGGCACAGAGAAGGGGTCGAATGTAAGCTGAGCAACCGGTTTCGATAACCTGTTCCCACTTTTTCAGGCTCGATTTGGCCGACTTCTGGCTGTCTTGCCCGAAGATGTTCGGAAAGACTGTCCGCTCGTAAGGTAGTCCCACGTCCTTGCATTGCGGAGTCTTGATTCGCTGACACCGCTGCTGCTGCTGTTGCTGTTGTCGATCACGCCTTGCCGCCAGAGTTTCGGGGACGTTGCCGAGTAGAACTCCGGCGACGACCGCCAAGACGAGAAACGTCGAAAATCCCATGGTTATCTGACTATTTCTATTAAAATCATCCAAATGTTACAGAGACAATTATTGTTTGTTGAGTGATGTCTGTGATGAAGGCAGTCGAAAAACGATTTACTTTTCCCTGCCCTTAATGGAACACTTGAATGACGCTGTTTGATAATCAAACAAATCAAACACAAAAACAGATAATGTTTACTTAATTCACGTCAGCAGTACAACCAGACAATGAGTGCCATCCAATCCCAGCTTGATTGGGGCTTCTGTAAAATCGCTGAGGGAGAATATCTTTCCAGCACCAAGTTTTGAGAGCTCCTTTGCATGAACAAGTCCCCTTTTAAGAATAAGTCACCTGCCTCAAGCGAAAGTAGCTCCGTAATTGGTCCGAACTTCCATGAGCGTCAAGTCACAAATTCTCACAAATTATTTCATCGTCTGCAATTTATGACAAAATTGTGCGCACGGAAGCGAGCCGGATACCGGAGCGACGCGAGCGAACGGACGACGACAAGGGAAATACGACAGAGGATCGACGCGCGCACGAATGCCAAAAGAAAAGTTCCGAATATCATAAACCTATATCGGATGCGAGGCCGCGTTCACATCAGGCATTAATTTCAATTTGTGAAGTCAACGATTGTGTGTTCTGCCGGACTGTCGGTGAATCCATACGAAGTCGTCTATTTGCGGAGGGGCTCAAGCAACTGACGTCGTAATAATAGCCTCTCCGTCTCACAAATGACCCTAATTTACCCGATGCGACAAAGGAACAGCAAAAGAAATTAAATTCGCGGGCCCACTTGATTGGAATCTATTCTTTCCTATTCTTCCCTCGTCTTAATTGCTCTTGATTCACACTGCAAGTCGAGATCGCTTCAGTTTGCTAGCCTACTCGAGTCAAATTAAAGTCGGCGAAAAGGAAATAATAGAACACCTTTTCGGAAGAAGGTATAGACGTTTGCCTAAAGCAAACAAATCCGTATTTTTCCTTCAAAAAACGAGAATTCAACTCTTTGGCGTTATAATAGCAGCTATATAACCTCGCGTATCATATAATAGAGTCACAGCTCATAAGACAGGTTTTCGTGTCCACTCATGTAGAGCAATCAAATCTCTTGCAGATTTTTTTTGCTCCTTTTCTTCTTTGCCAAACAAGAGTGTGTCAATATGACAGTTGCGACAAAACCAGTTGTTTTTATCTCCAAAGTGAGACATCCAAATCTTGCAAAATAACCGTAATTAGGCTAAGATGAGGTTTTTGGAGTTAATTATTTGTATTCGAAACCGGAGAAGGAAAGTAGCTTGTAAGTTATATGAAGGACGGTTTCGAAGAGATTCTTTTGGACGCTTTAATCCTTCTCTCTGTAATAATATTCAGCTAGGCTTATTAGGAAACATGTCAAATTAATCATGTTCTGTGAAAAGAAAATTATTAAAATTAAAAATACGTTTTGTGAAGCAGTTTTTTAAAGAGTATATAAATGTCTAGAAGAGGAGTGTTCTCCCTTCCCCCACGAATGGTAATGCAGGAGGAACAGAGAGAGAGAGAGAGAGAGAGAGAGAGAGAGAGAGAGAGAGAGGGGTGTGGAGCAAGAAAGGGAGAGAATGAAAGAACAGTGAAAAAGAAAACGATAGGTTACAACCCTTCCCATACCCCACTCTATGGCCTTAAAAAAATAGTTTTTCATATAATTTATTTCGTCCTTTTTTGAAAGTGAAATAACTAGATACTGCTCTTGCGAGAGGAAGGCCGGTACCCCCACCCCGGCTGCATCTACTCTAATCTACGCTGATACAACTTACAACGTAACTATTGTTAAATAAAGTGATTTTTTTTAAAATAAAGTATTCACCGATTATGAGCTGGCTTTGTGCTGCCTTTTAATTCAGCATTCCAGTCTAGGAAAAGGAAATTTATTTCATTTACAACGTAAAGGACGGGATTATGAATACAGTCAGATCGAAACATATTTTTCTCTTTAAAAAAACAATAAATCCAAAATAACATAGAGGCATGAGCTAAGAAGCAAGTTTTGTAGCAGATAATTTCCGATTGGATGTAAAAGGAAAAGAAAGAATGAAGGTGAAGAAGATAGGGACGAAGAAGAAGAAGAAAGAGGGAAAGGAGATGAATAATGAAGAGGGAGGAGAGGAAGATGAATAGGAAGTAGAAGAAATAGAAGGAGTATAATGAAGAGCAGGAAAAGGGATAAGAAGAAGAAGAAGAAGAAGAAGAAGAAGAAGAAGAAGAAGAAGAAGAAGAAGAAGAAGAAGAAGAAGAAGAAGAAAAAGAAGAAGAAGAAGAAGAAGAAGAAGAAGAAAAAGAAGAAGAAGAAGAAGAAGAAGAAGAAGAAGAAATAGAAGAGGAATAATAATAATAATAATAATAATAATAATATCAATAATAAGAGGAAGAAGAAGAAGGAGAAGAAAAATAAGGAACCGGGATCACATACATAAAGCTCTCGCACGGAGGTCTTTACATTATAAGCATATATTATCTTTTCAACGCTGCGACCTTTTCAAGCAGCCCAAAGAAATGCACAACAGTCGAACAAATTTCTATCTGTAGATGGGCAATCTATATTCGTTAGAACATAATAAGACTAATGGGCAGACATAGTAAAGAAGGACGCATGCAATCTATGATGTCCTATTAGAGCAATTTTGACATTCCCTACCGGTATAATAACAATTATGTTATCAATCCTTTATAAAAGAATTATAACTATTAGGAAAACTTGTAATCCCCAAATTGTTTCTTTGATTGCTATTATGTACTATATGTCTCTACGGGTTGGGAGGATTGTTAAAAAGGAAGATTTTAGACTGAATGTCTGCTGGGAATGTGAAATTACATTTCATTCATTCATTTGGCTTATGTTTGATGTTACATAAAATGGACAATACAGTGGCCTTGTAGATATTTGGTGAAGTGGTGTTCTAAAACCACCATTTGTACACCTGCTACACGGACAATGACACCTCCCTAATTTGCTCAGTAGTTAAGGTGGTCTTGTAATTCAAGGCCTTTGGTTCGAAACCACGTTGTAGTGCTAGTGTCATTTGGTAAGGCATTATTAGTCAATCCTTACCGATTCCTTCCAATTGAACGTTCTTAGCTGTTTGCCAAATCTGTCCTATATGTCACCTAGGTATAAGGATTAAGGTTAACTTATTTCAAATGGTGGACGTGCAGAAAAATGTGGATGAATCATGTTAGGGGTTTTTTCATGTCTTACACTCTTAAAAAAATGTTTAATCACCAATTAAAAGGACTTTGTCAAAATGATTGATTAACACTTTGATCATGCTGGATCCAACACCATAAACATTGAATCTAGCATGTTAAAGTGTTTATCTGACATTTTATCAAAGTAGTCACTCTTCGGCACCTTTATATTTTGATTTAAAAACAACAAGTTTTAGTTTTTTAAATGTAATCGAACCAAAGGTGGTCTAGTAAGTGGCCATATTATTATGGGATGGTGGACCGATCATAGACGTCAGTCTTTCATATGATAAAAGCAAGAAATAGAGCATAACTACGACGAATTGATACAAAATGGAGGAGTTAATCCAACTTCAATGATCCCATCGGAGAAACAACCGGCAGCGCACACACAATCCTATAATACGTCCCGACGGTAACAGATCTTCCTCAAAACGTAAGTTCATGACTCGACAAACACAACGCATAATGACTGCATTCGAAAATCTTATTTCACGCTCTGCATATTTCTTTATCATATCTTATTGTCGCCGAGGATTGAATCTAAATATTTGTCGGATTATAAAGTGTCGGGATTGACACCTTTTGTCCTCATTTAGAAAGAAAGGAAACGAGTCCTTCCTTTCATACACACGCAATATTGATTCTCAGCCCCAAACCAGAAACGGTTCCAATCTTTTTTGTTGTTGAGCCAGGCCTGGCCCCCTTTTTAATAGATCGGGAGGAGGTCCGTCATTATGCAGACTGTAGCAATATTTTTCTTCCTCTCACAGAAAATAAACAGTTTCATTTCTTTGATGATTTCATAAAGACCACTGAATCAGTTCTAAAGTACAGGCCGGTTGTCAGTGGTTTGTTAGAGGGTCGCATAAAGGGGGCGGCCGGGGAGGGGGCTTCCTTCCCCCTCGAAATTTAAGTTTGTAAATCAGTACCGGTTGTTCTCATGAACGTATAAATGTAATGATTTCTATCTCTTACGTTGTTTCGGCAAAGTCGGCTATTATTATGCTATAATATTCTTGTTTCTTGCTTAAAAAATATTATATCGGCAATTTGTCAACCCTCTCTCCAATTGATATAGAAGGTAAAATGATTTGGATCCAGTGGGCAACACAATGCCCAGATCCCCCTCCCACAATTCCCACTAAAATCACCTTTTTGGGCAACTATCAACTTAGATTCAGGTAACGAATTTAGATACTAGGAAGTCAATAATTGGGAGACGTAGCCCCCCCCCCCCGCTCCACAATCCACAATCTGGCAAAATCGGGTATATTTTCCCATGCCTCCTCAATTTTTGAAAACAAAAAATGCCCATAGTACGCCCCTTGCCAATACTTTTGAGTTCAGCAGTAGTCGGAGGAGGGATAGACACCTAAGGTGGGTTGGAACAAACATCGGCAAAGTTTTTGTGCGAATTCTCAGCGATTTACACGCGTCAAGTGCTGTATTGTGGCATGAATGCAGGAGGGCGGACCAAACTAAAAGACGCAGGATAATGGCCTACCTGACGTATCCTGCTGGGCTATTCACAGCTGATCAACACGGCATAGGAATTGATCAAGGTCGAGAAGAAAGACCTAACCCGAGAATGACATATTTGAGTACCTTTGCGTCTCGTCTGGGTTAGAAATGTACTGATCTGAAATTACAATTTGATTTGTTGTACGTTGACGCAAATTCTGTTCATAATATCGTTGTGAATCTTAATAGCTTTTAATTCATGATGATTAAATAAGTATAACTCGTTTGAAACAAGAACCATGGCACACGGCATAGATTTGGA